TKRWRAYRRGWTKAYGSMWGTTKGGYAKGACAAATATCTACTCCCAACTTGAGGGGGAGTGTAGAGATAGCTAATAGACTATTAGTGTGTGGGGGGTTCCAACCCCACATTTTATAATTGTTGTTTATCTTTTTATTTTTCAGTTAGAATAGTTGAGCCGGTTGGGCCTTGTTTGTCTTTCTTTTATTTTTAAGTAAGGGTATTAAGGTAACTAGTCATTGTAATAGATTACAATATAAATAAGGCTAAGTGGGCGGCTAGAAACATGATTCAGCTGAACCCTTTCTTTTCTTCCTCTTCTCTTCCTCTCTCTTCTCTCTTCTATTCGTGACCTTTTTTTTCTCTCTTCTTTTTCTACTAACTTAAACTAGAAAACATCTATTTTCTGGTTTAATTCTTTCAAGTATATCCAAGAATACCGTGTATGATCATCCACAAACAAGAGAAAATAACGGTAACCACCCATGGAAGAAATGTGGTAAGGACATACATCAGTATGAACAATATCAAAAGCAAAGGAACTTCTTTTATTACTTGGTTTAAAAGAATGTCTACAATGCTTTCCCAATTGATAGCTTTAACATTCCAAACTAGACAACTGAACAAACTAAAACAACTTTGGAAACAAAAACCTCAATGAAATGAAAGAAAAATGACCCAAACGATTATGCCAGAACATAATCTGACTCACTGACTCTGATCCACTACTACTGCTGCTACTAACATAATGGCTCTGATGTCTCAGACTCTCATCCAGAAGATAAAATCCATTTACCTCATGACCACTCCCAATTGTCCTCTTTGATTCTAGATCCTAAAAAACACAATTACTAGGAAGACAGGTCACTGAGCAGTTCAAATTTTTTATCAAAGTGCTTACTGAAAGAAGATTAATGTGGAGTTTAGGGACATGTAAGAGAGAGGATAAAGTAATGTCATTGGCCACTTTAACCGTCCCTTTTCCAACAATGGGAATATGGGAACCATCTATTGTAGAGACTCTATCTCTACCAGAGCACAATTGGTAAGAACTAAAGAGGGTAGATATATTGGTCATGTGCTCAGATGTTCCTGAGTCTATAATCCAAGAAGGTACCTCCTTACCTAAGGTAGATACATGATTTGCAATTGCATACGAGCTACCTATATGAGCAAAGGAAGTAGTATGGTTGGCTCCTGCACTGTTCTACCCATCTGAAGAACTAAATCTGGCTGAATCCTTCTTACTCATAAGCTGTCCATACTTTTCCAATTCAATCCTCATTGTTGCTGCTGCAATGGACTCCAGATCAGCCTGGGAGAAGGGTCCTAAAGGGTCTCCTATAATTGCCACATTTGCATTTCCCTTCTTATTCTTGATCGAAGCTGGTACGAGATGAGGGTAAAGCTTCCAACAGGTGTCTTTGGTATGTTTAGTATTCTTTCAATAGTTACACACCAAATCCTTCTTGTCCTCCTTCCTAGCCTCACTACTCCCCCTGTCTCCATTTGGCTTAGATTTATCTGTACTAACCATAGCTGACTGATCAATCCCAGGTTGTCTCATCATGACATCCCTCCTTCTCTCCTCCCCAGAGACAAAAGCATAAGCTTGAGAAAGAGTCACACTTTCTCTAGAAAGGAGATGTTGCCTGGCAATGTCGAATTCAGGGTTCAGCCCAGCCGAGAACTCAAAAACCCTATTCTTTTCTACCAACCGCTGACAGGTTGTTGTATCCTTCATACTCTCCCAAACCATAGTTTCTAAGTAGTCGATCTCCTGCAAAGAATTTTCAGCATGGAGAAATAGGTGGCAAGAGGTCTATCTCCCTTTTTTGTACTAATCACCTGATTCCTTAATTGATAGGCTCTAGCTACATTTTGTTTTTGAGAATAGGTTTTAGTCACTCCATCCCAAGTCTCCTTTGCAGTATTAACACACAAAAAAGTTTTACCAATGTGAGGTAACATAGAGTTACATAGCCAGGTCATCACCATGTAATTCTCCTCTACCCACTAGAAGGGATCTGTATCCAGTTTCTTCTCCTCCCCAGTGATGCACCCCAGTTTCCCACGAGCACCAATGGCCATCTTGGCTGATTGTGCCCATTCTAGATAATTTGTACCATCAAACTTCATTGTAGTAATAATTCCAAACCCAAAAATATCACTACTACCTTCAACACCCAGACCCATGTTATTGGTGGACTTCTGCTCGGTACTCCAACTCTCCATTTTACTTCAAATAGTTGAAAAGCAGAAAATAATTAGGCAAAGAGCCTCCAAGATCAAATCGATCTCACACACAAAGGTAACAAACCTTTTCGAAACAAGAAAACACTATTCGGGGAGAAATCTCTCTCCTCCCATTGTCACCCACCAGAGAGAAAAGTGAATCAGCCACTCCAAAAGGCCTAGAAAATTCTAGAAACCTAACTGCCCCCTATAGAATACCTAGAGAAGTCCAACAATACCTGAGCACCCAAGATCAAATCAAAATTGAAGAGTTCAACTTGACTAGGACTCTTCCCCACGTTCCAGTTCTTCCTGATTTTGATGCCAAAACATAGATCACCCTCCTGATGACTAGATCACACCAAAAAATCTAAGAACTGGGCAATCTGAAGTAGACCGATCAGCCCTTTATCTCCTCATGCAATCGGCTGATCTAGGACTGCATGGAAAAAACTTCAAGAAACCCTGGCCGAGCTCTAATACCAAGTAGAAAGGTGCTGAAATAAAGATTTATAAAAGAAAAGAATATTTCTTGAAGAAGAAGAAGAGAAGAAAGGAGAAAAGGAAGAGAAGAGATTTGAGAGAGAAAAGAGAGCAATAATGCTGGCCGGCCCTTTTCAGTATTATTTATAGTCTAAAATAATAAAGAGTACAAAGACCAATATGCCCTTATAGGGCGGCTAACACATAAAATAGCATAAAACAATTAAAATAACTGCTCAAAAAGGACCCAACGAGAGTGCTGTGGTCCCCACTTCTTATCTAAACAATAAATAATCAAAAACTACCAGTATAGACTACACAATTTGTCTAAAACCTCAACAAAAAGTAGTCCTCCCTCCCAAAGATCCTCTTCTATTTTTATTCTACTATGCCATTCTTTTGAATCATTCAATCGTCCATCTTCTCTGTGGAACTGAACCAGCTCATGGTAGGAATTGAAGGGTGTTTCAGTTCTGAATCCTCTAATCTTTTTTATCATGCCTTTGAGATCTAACAACATTAGATGTCATCTAGAAGCTGCTGAGTTAACAAGGGATCTGTTGCCCAAGTATTTCAAGTACTGTAACTTCTCCAGTTTGTCAATGCCCTCCTTGGAAAATAAAATGTCTTTCGAAGAGATGCTTGTGAAGTGTGCTCAAAAGACACTCATGAATACTTGGCAGATGTGATGCACTGATTTTCAAAATATGCTAACGTGGATGAGCACCATTTGCTTGTTATATCAATTTTCAGAGTATAAGAAAAGGAAAAATAAAAAAAAAAAAAACAACAGAAGAAAGATAAGTACCCTCTAAAGAAGCAAAGTGTTTTTGACATGGATAACATTTTTTAGTATGTATATGCTAAATTCCCTGTACTGCTTTCCACTGGATGGGCTTTTATGCAGCCATAGTCCAAGTCATGTTCTTTATTTATGCATTTTGATGTTCTTAGTTATATATAGTCATAAAACTTTCTACCTTCTTTTTTGTTTTGCAGATTAACAAAATGCTCAAGCCAGACAAGTGGCAAGCAATTTTTGATAGCGATGGGAGAGTTTATGAGTTTCAGAAAGCACTTAAGTTGATTGTTTTGGGGGTGAGTTCTTTAACTCCAAGTTCAATTCCTTGAATAAATATCAAACTTTGTCAGTTACATTCTTTGTGATAGTTTCTTTTTGATTCCTTCATTTTTCTTTGTACTAATTATGTTCATTATTAATAAATTCTATTGACCTATTACCATTCAAAAGAAATAAAAAACCAAAGAAGAGTAAAGTTACCAACCTAACATTATTAACATAAGGATTAAATAACAAAGTAATTGGAAAAGACTTCATTACACATTACAGCTAGCTTCCTATGAGTTTCAATCTAATCTCAACACACAGTCCCAACAAACCCAACAAACCAGTGCAGCCTTGCATTTGGAACATCTTCCTCATCCTACAAGATAGTAGAAATTTAAAATGAGCAATCAAAGTAAAATGTTGACAAAACATCCAAGTTTCATGAATGACTGGAACTTCTAATGCAAGATTCAATGGCGGTCATCCTCATATGGACTACCCACTGGGTTGTCCTAAGCTTCAAATGTAGAGTGGTTAGTGTTTTAAAATACTTGTTGAAAGTTGGGATCTGGGGAATTAACTTTGGAGGCCTAAAGACCTTATGATACACTCTTTTTTTTTAAGAACAATAATTAAAATGAGAAAAGTAATTTATTTAATAGGAAACAAATACATGATTAACCATCAAGTAAATAGATAAAATCTAGGCACAGAATGTGTATGTGACTTGATTTTAGATTTTTCTTTATTTACATTTTGAAAATAGTATTATGTTTAATCAATGTAAGTTGCAAATTTCAGTTCCAAAAAGTAGTTGCAAAGAATATTATATTTGCTTCCTACAAAACATTCAACTTCTATTAGAGAATCTGTTAATTTGGAATAGATCCTCAAGATGGTTTCCTAAACAACCTAAGCATTTCTTGATTCAGTCTTGTGATGAAAAGTCTAATTTGATTAGACTATTAGATGCACATCTTTATTATAAGGCATTGACCTTATACATTGGAGTTGATGCATTTTTTGAGCCTTGCTGCAAGGTATTAGTTATATACATTTTGAATTGATGTCATTTAACAACTCTTTTGTTGCTTTACATCATTTTCATATACAAAATCTTTGTTTGTCCAAGATGAGATTTTTTTAACCATTATGTTCTATGTGTGAGTGATCTTATATATTTTAGTTGTATTAGAGAATTGTAGTCTTTGTTTTAATTGGTATGCACTTTATCTTCTGCATGGTCAGGGTGTAGATCCATCTATAAGGGCAGAAGTTTGGGAATTTCTTCTAGGTTGTTATTCACTGGACAGCACTGCAGAGTACAGAAGGCAACTGAGAATGGCCAGGAGGTTGAAAGTCTCTTAACTTTCCACTAAATCTCTCATCTGATGAAATTGCTACTGAGTACTCATTTAGTCATATTTTTCAATTTTTGGCTACTTCCATATGAAAATGTTGTATCATCATTCATCATATGATTGGTTGTCTCATTATTATAGAGTTTGTAGTCATTATAAACACTAAACATTCCACTGCATCATTTTATTGTTTTCTTATTGTTGTAATACATAATGTACTTGCCATGGGTATTATTGTCCGTTCACCATCTTTTACCCTCTTAATATAAATAAGAGAGTGGGCCCATCCACTCTCATTACATTCTCTCTATTCTTGTCTGTTTTATTCCTCTAATTTTTTTTTGTTCCCTAACTGATTTATTGCAGAAAACATGGTATCAGAGTAAAACCTGCTTTAGATCAGTAATTTTTTCTTCCTCTCTTCTCCTAAATCTTCCCTTTTATGTTCTTCTCTGAATGGAAGAAGCAAGAACACTTCTGGACTGATCTCAAGAAACCTTGATTGGGAGTGGTCTCTTTTGATGGAGTTTTCTATCATCCCTTGTTACAGGGTTTATTCTGATTCTTGGAAGGTTTACCATTGATGTAACAGGTCTGTATACATATCTCTTCGATTTGTATGATCTATTATGGTGTGCAGTACCTGTGTTGAAGTTCTTTTGGGTTTGTATGAACCTGTTGAGTGGCCCGGTTTGTCTTTAGTTTGCTTTTATTTAATTAGGAAGTTGCTGGGCCTTAGGCCCATTAGTTTTTTATTTTTTAAAGTTGTGACTATTCAGTTTTAGTAGCCGCCCTATTAAGGGCATCTTTGTAATATCTCATCTTTAAGTTAAACATAAATATAATGAGGGGCTGGCGGCTAGGGTTAGGTTTCTCATAATCCTAGTTGACCTCCTACTCTTTTCTTCTCCTTCCCTCTCTACTGCTGAAATCTTCATCTTCCTCCTCTTTCTTTCACAAGAAGCTTGACCGAATCAGCAAATAGTGATCTCTACTTGGTATCAGAGCAGGTTGAAGGTTCTTGA